GAATGCCTGCGATCGGCTACAATTGGGATGACCCCTCTATTTCAGTCCCAATGGACAGATCCTGGCTCAGCAGATGCCAAATGATGACACCCAACGGCCAGTGGTGCGGAGACATGCCAGGCTAGCACAATTATTAAAACCTCCAAGGTTTTTGGGTCATGGGTCCTCATTAGCAAAACAAACCATTATCTTCTAAGATCCCATTTTATTTGAAATATGTTTAAAAACAAATAATTCAAAAATTAAAAAACCAAACTCCAGGTCTGCTGAAAAACTACCATCTGGCTCAAGTCATGACAATAGAGTGACAGCCCCACATCCAATTACTGGACTCAGCACTCCAGGAATAGGGAAGGCCTGGGCACTTTTGAGGAACAACACTGCAGTACCACCACAAGGATAGACTCTTTTCCAAAGGGAATTGTGATCAATTACAAGGTAATTGGTTGGGGTGGAGAGGAGATCCCTCGGGGGTTATTGGACATTGACTTAGAGATAACACAAATCCTTCAGAATGCTTACTGCTGCTATTGCCCACTGGTCACAGTGGAAGGGGGGTGGGGCGCGGTTTATGAGAGTCAAGTCATAAATGGAATTTGGGCCAGAATCTACTTCACAGTGGGCTCTATGACCCCGAATCCATTCCCTAGTTATTTCCTCAGTTCTTGAGTATAGAACTGAACTACACATTTTCAGAGATTAGCATCATTAGAGAAGTAGATTCCTCTCCTATAAAATAAGACCAATTAGTAAACAGGACTATGTGGAAGTACCCTCAATCCCTCCTATCTATCAAAAAAATAGTTGAAAGCAATACTAGATATCCAAGGAAATAATTAATACTGTCGCCACTATAATATTCTTGTTAGTCCCAAGATGCAGAATTTTATCATATTTCCATTAACTATTTAATTGGCTATAGAAGAAGATGGCTTGCCTGGCCGGTGTGGCTCAGTGGTTGATTGTCGACCTATGAACCAAGAGGTCACAGTTCGATTCCCAGTCAGGGCACATGCCCGGGCTGTGGGCTCGATCCCTGATCATGCAGGAGGGAGCCAACCAATGATTCTCCCGCATCATTGATGTTTCTATCTCTCTCTTCCTCTCCTTCTCCCTTCTTCTTTAAAATTAATAATAAAAAAATATTTTTCAAAAGGAAGAGGACTGAACCCTAGAAAACAACATGGGTTCTCAGTACCCTTGGATTATTATAAGCTTAACAAGATGATGCCTTCAATTGTATCTGCTGTTCCAGGTGGGGTTTCCTAATAGATCAAACCAATACACCCTCTGGGACCTAGAAGATCCCAGTTAATCTCTAATGCTCTAATACCCTTTGTCTCAGTAACAAGAGAACATCAGAAAAAAGGTTGCTTTCTCTAGTAACCTAGTAGAAAAATGGTAGAGCATATATGTGAAGGTTTATTTCTGAACAATTTACTCTACTAGTCTATATAGATGCCACAGCATTTTTTTTTAAATACATTTTATTGATTTTTTACAGAGAGGAAGGGAGAGAGATAGTGAGTCAGAAACATCGATGAGAAACATCGATCAGCCGCCTCCTGCACATCCCCGATTGGGGATGTGCCCGCAACCCAGGTACATGCCCTTCACCGGAATCGAACCTGGGACCCCTCAGTCCGCAGGCCGACGCTCTATCCACTGAGCCAAACCGGTTTCGGCATGCCACAGCATTTTGATTACCATTACTTTGTAATATAGTTTGAAATAGCATGAAGCTTCCAGTTTGTTCTTTCTCAAGATTGCCTTAACTACTCAGTCTTTTATGGTCCATATGAATTTTAAGATTGTTTATTATCATCCTGAGAAATATGCCATTAGAATTTTGGTAGGGATTGTATTGAGTCTGAAGATTGTTTTGGATTCCATGGACATCATCCCAATATTAAGTCTTCCAGTCCATGCATGTAGAATGTCTTTCCATTTATTTGGGTTTCCTTTAATCTCTTTCAGCAATATTTTGTAGTTTTTAGAGTCCAGTTTCTAGGACTCTATTTGTATCTTTCTTCTGACACTGCATTGTCCTAACTGCCCTTCTCACTAGAATGTGAGTTTTCTGAATGGCAAAGATGTTTCTGTCTCTCTGTCTCCACTCTAACATAGTCTTTGCATGCAGTAGGCTCTCAATAAATGCATGTTCCATCAATTCAAGCATGAATTAGTCCTGACCTACAAGACATCAGATACTAATGAGCTTCAAAATCAAATTGACTTTCTTCATTGTACGCATGTTGGTATATAGACGTCTAAGCTTCTTTAATATTTCCACCCGAGAATTGCTGAGCATCCTGTCATGAGACTGAAATGAGCTATCATCTCTGAGCCAGAAAAGTGAGAACGGGGCTAGAGATCTAGAAGCTGAGAAGTGGGGCTACATATCAGAGAGGATTCTTGTGGCTGACAGAGTCCAGGGAGGGGGAAATGGGCATAGATAGGGCTGCCAAAGGCTGAGCAAGTGGGTGTAGCAGTCAGCATTCTTTAGGGGAGCAGGAGGGGTGATTTCAGGGTCCAAAGCTAATACGAGGCTCTGAATAGACAAGGCTGGAGAGGCGGGGTTTGGCCAGAGTAACTTCCTTGGTGAGCTGGCATCTGGCTCCACTGAAGCCCTAGAGCTCTTCCTCCATCGGCACCGATTTTCAGGTCTTAGAGATCAGCCTCTCCAAAACTCTTTCTCTAGTAGCCGGGCTTACAGTTTTCTGGAGGTGTTTTTTCCCTGTCATCCAATTTCATTTAAACTATTGTTTGATCAGGCTGGCCCGCCTCTGGACAAGCCTGTTGCTTCTGGCTGGGGTGGAATTCAGGTCTCCTTAGCCACGGCCTGGAAAGCCAGAGCTGACCTCCTGAGCTCATCTCTCTGACCAGCTATTCACTGCCCATGTCCTCTTTCCTCTTTCAAGTCGTGCCTATCAATAGATGCACAATCGATGCCATGGGCCTTCAGGGCCTTCAGCGTGAGGACGGACTTGGGTCTCTCAGTGGGGCAGGTGTCACACAGGCTGAAGGTGGGAGGTAATCGGTGGGGAATAGGTGCCTCCTGACAGCAAGGAGCCAGGAGAGTGAGGGGATGGAATGGTGGGGCCTGAAGGCATAGTAACGCTGGAGCTTTTACCTTGGACTTGAGCTTCATGAGGGAAAGGAGCCTCTTCTCCAGGGACCATAGGGAGCCATAGACAGTGGAGGGAGTCTGGCCCTGCTCTGGGGGGTGAACACAGGATAAACCACGGGCAGAAGAGGATGGTGACGAGGAGAATTTGCTTCGTGCTTCTAAAACTCAACGCATTATTAATCACTATCTCAAACTTCACTCCCTCTCTGGTAGCATCTGGTTTGGCGGAGGTAAAATGTGTCTGCAGCGCCTTCTCCACTCCAGGTACTCCTGCCCTGATCTCACGGCGGCTCTGTCCCCTCCGCGTCCCTCCTGTACCCAAAGCAGCTCCCAGGAACCGTGCCAAGAGCACGTCCCACTGACCTGGCTCGGAGCTGTTGTCTGTGTTGTGGAGATGCATTCTTCAGCCTTTGGTTACCCAGCTGCTCCTATACTTGGTTATTGTTTTATAGGCTGTTCTTTCCCTGCGGCTTCTGAGAAGTAGGTCAAGGCACCTGCTTTAAGGGAGAGGTGCCAGGAGTTCAAGTCACCCGGCCTGGAGTCAGGAATCCTGAGTTCTATTTCAGGCTTCACAGCTAGTCAGCTACGGGGCAGTCTTCGGGGCACACGCTCCCCTCTGGTTCTCCCAGGGCACACGCTCCCCTCTGGTTCTCCCGGGGCACACGCTCCCCTCTGGTTCTCCCGGGGCCCTTCTCTAAGTTTCATGACTTATTTTTCTCTGAAACTATCTCCTGGGGCTGTCATCTTCTTCCCTCCTTGCTCCCTCCGAAAGGTCCTTTAAAGCTGTCGGGTGCTCAAGGCTGATGCCATGAGAGGCTTTTGCGCAGACACAGTGCAGGGGGTGGGGCCTTGTGAGGCTGGGGAGTCAGGGGGCCAGCTGCCTGGACTACAGGACAGGCCTGGTGTTGTGCCCAGGACGCCAGAGCCAGGGATGCAGGTGAGGATCCTGGGTTTTATGAGATGGTTGTAGAGGGCCTCCTACTTCCAAGGCTCCCTTTCCCTGTAATGCAGAGAGATTTGGCCTTTGGCTCATAAGGAAACTGGAAATTGTGGTGCTTGCTCATGATCCCAGCAAAAGACTTTGTTTATAGTGACTGTGTTAAGTAGGGTGTACTTTGGCCAAAGAATAAAAACCTTTTCTGAAGCTTAGCTCCCTGCCCTGACCCTCCAGACCCTGGAGGGCTCTGGGCTCCGGATTTGGCAAATGCCACAGGGGTCCACTGCTGAGGGCCTAGGAGGCGGGTGGACATTAGCCTGCATGGGCCTGGATAGCCTGAGACCCGCGTTAATCTCTACCCTCCGAACCCAGGAAATCGGGGAGTGAAATACACATGAGGAAGGAGAGCAGATGCAGGTAAAGGGCGGGAAGGGGCCTGGGGCGTTAGACTGTGAGGAAGAATGTGATTGAAAGTTCACGTGGGTGTCGGTGTGGACCGCAGGGCATCGTGCTGTGGTGGAAAGACAACGGGGCTTGGCACAGTGACCGGGGCTTGAATCCCTGCTCGACCCTCCGGGCCTCAGTTTTCCAGCTGTAAAATGAGAATAATAGCACTAACCTTGCAAGGTTACTGAGCTGTGACATAAGACCATCCGTGTCGAGTGCCTGGCACAGAACCTGTGGCACAGTGGGCATGCAGCAAATGTCACTCCTTCTCCCACTCTCCTTCTTGTCATAGCAATCACTGTGTTTGGGTTTGGGCAGCTAAGTAAGAACCTATTTAAGGTAGGGATCCCAATTCTGACTTCTCTTCTCCCCAAGGTTGACCTAACTAACTGATCACCTGCTTGGTGTGTTTTCTTGGGTAGTGGGACACTTGGGGTCTTGCTTTTTTGCTTTAAATTGTGAAAAGATTGTACCCTCCCCCCGCCAATCTCAGCTTCCTCATCGGGGAGTAGCACCCCCACCTGAGACTTGGACAGCAGCACCATTTCCTGCACAGATGTTATCTAAACATCTTGGCTCCACCTCAGAGAAGCTGGGCATGAGCGGAGTCCTTCACCACTGACACCCAGAGTCCAGAGGGACCTCAGCCCTCCGGCCAAAGCCCCATGCCCAATCTGACAGGCCAGCCGGATGGCCCCATCCCTGTGCCTTGGGGAGCCCCCAGCAGTGGGGTCTACTTGGGAACACAGGCTGGGCGGAGAGAGAAGGCCTACCCAGGCCTGGGCCCGTCATGAGGATCCAGGAGCACCCTTCAGAGGACGGCACTGATGAAACAGGCAGATGAAACCTAGGCTGAAGCCGAATTTCAGATAAATGGCAAAACTTTTTAGTATAAGGATGTCCCAAATGTTGCATGAGACAGACCTAACAAACTGTAGGCTTTTTGTCTTGAAATTTAAATCTAATTGGGCACCCTGCATATTTATATGCTAAATCTGGCAACCCTACATCCAACATGCAAGCCTTTGGGGTGGGCCCTCCAGGCCCTCCCAACATGGCCCCAGAGACCTTGCCTGCCTCCCTTTCTGCGTCTGCTCCCGCCCCGGGCTCAGCCCCAGCCAGGCGGATCCTCGGCTGCGCCTCACCTACTCTCTCCCCTCCACCATCCTGACCTTTGCAAAATGTAGTTCCTCCTGGCTGGAACTATTTACATGATATCTCCACATCGGGAAACGCTGTTCATTCTTCAGAGCCTCTCCTGAATATTTATTTTCCTGAAACTCTACCCAGGTCCTTCTAGGAGCCTCCACCGTAGAACTTCCTAGGTTTGATATCGTCTTTGCATGTCTCCTGATACCTTTCACAGTGTCTAGCGCATCATTGGAAGTAATCACTAAGTGTTTCATAAAAAGAATGATGAATGAACCTACCAACCATCAGAGTGTCTAAAATACAGGTCTGGCCTTGGCTGGTGTTGTGGTTAGAGTGTCAGCCCTCAAGTCGAAGGATCTCGGGTTCCATCCCCAGTCAAGGGCACGTACCTGGGTTGCAGGTTCGATCCCTGGCCCCAGTCAGGGCGGGTGTGGGAGGCAACCAATGGATATGTCTCTCTTACATCAATCTCTCTCTCCCTCTCTCTCTCTTCCCCCCTCCCACCCTTCCACTCGCTCTAAAAAAATCAATGGAAAAATATATCCTCAGGTGAAGATTAAAAAATAAAATAAAAAGAGGTCTGTAACTCTCACGCACAATTTGCTACATTCTCTTTTGTCATGTAACATTTTTATCAGTATTTATCTTGTCCTCCCTGCCAGATATTTCCCTCCTGCAGACAGACACTGCATTTCCACAGCACTGCAGCCACCAGGGAATGACGAGTATATTTTGTGTGGAACAGACGGTGGGGTGGGAATATCTTCGATGTCCGGACCAAGCAATCTCCAAATTTTCCTTTCTGCCTGGCTCAGCTGTGACTGTCAGCAGATCTCCCAGTCACCTGACCTGGTCCTTGACCTGAGAATAGAGACAGTGCTGCTTTGAGAGCCGTCCAAGGGCTCTAGGCTAAATGTGAGCGCCAGGAACCCTCCCAGGGTTTCCGGGGGGCTCCAGGACTCCCGGGTACTCTAAGAGAGGGAAAGCGGGAAAAGCACAGGAACAAAACCTGGAAGTAGCAAGGAAGTGGGCGGGGATGGTGAGGACGGAGAGAAACAGAAAACACGGGCGTGGGGTACAGCAGAGAGAGCACTGTTCCAAGAATCCCGCAATCCGGATTCTCTCTCTCTCTCTGGCTCTCTCCCTGCCTTGGGTGAGGAAGGAAGGAAAGAAGGAAGGAAATAAATAAATAAGTAAATAAGTAAATAAGAGAGTGCCCACTGTGTACGGTCATGAGGGTTTTCCATCCATTTCCCAACAGTCCGGCAGGAAGCTGAGGTTCAGAGAGGGTAGGTGACTGGCCTGCAGACACACAGCTCCGTGGATCTAGAAAAAAAGAACACCAACCAGCCTCTCTCACAGCCTCCGTTTCCTCTTCTGTGGAACGGAAAACATCACACCTCCCCTCCCTAATATCTAGTAGAAACCTCAACCATGGGGGCAAGAAGGGAAACTAAGAAGTAAACATTGAAAGTGGATGTGCGAAACGTAGAGGAGGCTGGGTGAGAAGCCGCGGGAAAGCCGGGCGCTGGCCTAGGAGATGTTTTCAGGGGGTGGGTCCTGAGCCCTCCGGGTCTGCTGCTCCACGCGGCCCCAGAGGACGGAGCAGCGGGCCCTGGGGCACAGGTAGAGAGGATCCTGACCGCCAAGCTTGCGAATAACACGCAAAATCTGGGAGAGAAAAATAGAGCCGACTTCCCGCAGCACCTGGGGGGTGGGATGGAGTGCGTTTCCTGCGTCCCTGGCCCCGAGGACGGACGCTGATAGCAATCACGCGGTCAGCGAGTGGCTGGGAGGGACGCAGCCGAGGGCCTCAGCGAGGACGGGGCTTAGCTCCGGGGCCAGGGGAGGGTGGAAAGATATTCCCCAGTGCGTCCTCCTTGCGCCCCTGGCTCACCTGGGAGAGGGGTACACCTGCCGCCTCCAACACCCCTGCTGGTAAAATTATTTATCAAACATATATTCAGTGCCAACTGTGTGCCTAGCACCATAGTAGGCACTAAAGATACAAAAATGAATAAGATAGAATTTCTCAGCTCAAGTGACTCGCTCTTTATAGTTAGAGATAAACATTTAAGCAAAATGTTTCCTCCTATTCCACACTTCATACATCCAACCCATTAGCATATCTAGTAAATTCTTATTAGACCCCTCATCTGTCCCTTCCTCTCTATTTTGATTACCACTGCAACTCATCTAATCCAAATTACCATACCTTTTATCACAATTATAGAATGGCCTCTATTAACATATTTTGCCCTTCCTCCACAAAAAAAATCT